TGCTCATATAAAAACAATCAAGACTGACAAGCGAATAATTGACAAGGTCAGAATGAATAGAATGGAATGTCCGAAAACTAGAATAAGATATATTATGGGCTAAAACTAATGACTAGCACTACAACATCACCCATCCTTAATGTTTCCTTGATTCTAACACCAAATAACCTCTGACCTGTTCTTGCATATATACATCATTATTATTGATAACTTTTTTCATTTCAATTGTTTACATTCACTTGTATCAATTGTTCCATACTATTTCTTATCTCAATGTAAAATTCTAATACATATCTGATTGTAAGCAGCTGATGAGAAACCACGAGATATAATGAATTTATATTATTCCGCATTCATGCTCGTTTTGGCTTTATTTAAATTCATAAAAGGAACAAACTGCATGAAGTTTGCGTAATTGTTGGGACGGCTCGAAAAAAAAACACGACTAAGCCTCCAGAGGCTCTAAAGGAACCGAAGAGATTCTGTCCAATCAGAACCTGACAGAGCATTCCAGAATATCAGCATGGCATGTTAAGACTGAATATTCGCATAAGTTGCCTCTTTATGGACTGGCTGGATTACAATGTTATAACCAATACTAATAACTATAAATACCCATGTCTTTTTATAATTTGGTTGACTTTTATACGATAATCGCTTCACCTGTTTCTTCCGTCTTTTGTTTTGCAACCGTAAGGTTCTACACGTTTGAATGCCGTTACTTGTATAATATATTCTTCGGTAATTAATTAGAGAACGCAACAGTAATATGATCATCCTATCAGAATTCTATGCAAAATGTAAAGATCAAAATGTGAAGTGGTAAATCTAGAGTTTTATTTACCACTGCACTTTTTTTTACAAATAATATTTACCAATTATCACATTCTAAATCGTAAAACTTATTATTCAGTTTGAATGTTTCACATTTTAATTATACATTACATTCACTTATTAATTTCAAGAATCTAAGTGAACTGTTTACCATTAGCTTTGTAATGCCAGTTGCTAAGTTCAGCCCATATAATATACATTAATATACATTCACTTATTAATTTCAAGAATATAAGTGAACTGTTTACCATTAGCTTTGTAATGCCAGTTGCTATGTTCAGCCCATATAACTTATTCCAGCTTCTGGATAGGCCAATTTATCTATTCTTCTTCAGTCAAGTTTTGATCTTGTTAATTATTCACTTATCAACCCTGACTGCTTTTATTTGAGTATTTGTGTGTACACTTCTTATCCTATTCATCACATATCTGTAACTTATTTTTGTGTGACTATAAATATCAATTATCGCTTGATTAAATAAAGTTTACCCACACGCCATTAGCGCTGAGTGTCATTTTGATTCGTTCTCTTATCTTCATTCTCCGATTGCCTGTTCAAATCACTAAGTGCATGATATATACATATTCAAAATCCATTCTTATATTTGGCTTATTTAATTTGGGTATTGTTGTGACGTTAAGTTGCGGTCGATTTTTATAGTGCTAATTGTTGTGTCCTTGACTGAAAAACTAGAGAACAGCGTATTTATCGATCGATTCAATGACACGTAAACACGTACGAACGTAATGGACGACCTAGAGTCACGATTGGTCCCGATTCCCTGTCTATCCCAGCCAGTTGAGTCCAGAACGCAAATCTCAGCCTCTGAGTTATGAATCATTGTATTTCAGACATACTCTATTTATATACTAACCAAACATACCACATCGTACCATAAAAATAGAAAACAACATTTTGTACCATATTCAACAAGTGGACAGATATCGACCAGTAGGAAATATCCATTTAAAGTCCAAGGACACCATTGGACTTAACATGATAATTATTGGTCTATCCTTCGCATCCACAACAGGTATTCACTAACGCGGATTAAGTCGATAAAGATATACGAGAATCCAGTCAGTCAGCTACAACGTAGGACCAGGCACATACATGCATTGGTTCAAGTTGCCACACCTCATTAACACAAGAAGATGAGTACTGAATACATGGAAGTAGTTAATTCAATTGTAGTAATATATAAGAGATTGTGCGTAAGAATATATTACAGAATGAAAGATATGAAGTGATTTTAATCTCGCAGTTTAAGGGAACACAGAGAGCGTAAACACCTACCCCAATGTGATCGATCCTGAGCCATGTCATCCAGAGTCTCCAACCATTGGTTATTTTAGTCACGCAGACTTCAACCAAATAGACTGCATCTACCAACATGACTCAGACTGGAAGTAACTGACTTCAAGCACTGATATCACGTTTCGGTTAAGCCGACCCTAACTTTCTTCAAACCATCCCCAACACTAGTTAGCATTACTCATCGTGGTAATCGGTGTTCAGGCATACGCAACACATGGCCCAACCATCTTCTGTGGTCAAATACCAGTAGCTTATGAGTATCTTCTACCCTCATTGGCTACGTTTGACAGCCTTCAAGTAAAACAGAATGAACTGCCGAGCAATAAACTCGTCCTTTTATTGATAGACGGATATCCCGCCTTCGCCACATTTGGTGACGTAATTTGGCAAAGCCAAACGAGTTTTCGAATCAGTGCAGAAATATCGTCCGGCACTAACTCAATACGGTTGGTCAGACTTCCAAGATAAGTGAAGTTGTCAACGCGTTCAACTATTTCACTCCCTATCCTTAGTTCATGTGTAGACCCAGACCAGTCCTGAAGCAATAACTTCCATTTAGTGGGAGAGAAACGCATTCCAAACATTCTGGCATTGTTGCTCAGGCTACCAGGAGACTGCATTTTATCAGCGTCTTCACCAAATAGTAATATGTCATCTGCGTATTCTAGGTCGATAAGTGGATCCCCTGGAAGGAGCTCAATACCCGAGAATTCAGTCGATGAGAGCGTTATTTCTATCAGTAGGTCTATGATGAAGTTAAACAAAAATTTTGAAAGCGGACAGCTTTTGTCTGACATCTTTTGAGGTTACAAAATCAGACGACAGTTCGCCATAACCTCTGACTCGACTAGTAGTGTTCGGGTAAGGAGCCTTCACAAGGTTCATGTACTTCTGAGGTACGACTTTCAATGACAAACACTGTCACAGAATCTTGTGGTCTACAGAATATACGAGGATAGTTAGGATATTATATCTTGACAGCAAATATTAATACGATCTAGTTTGAGTTAGATCCCGGGCCACTAAAGCTTAAGCATAGAATTAATTTTTTAAAAATTTACATGAGAAAACTTAAAACCTACTTATTTATGTAAAAACTATTTTCATTTACCTTAAATTAATCTACAACACGTGACATAAAAGAATGTTATGCATTGTTACCTACATTAATTCATAGTTCATATTTATTTCTTAAATTGAAGTACTAAGTACTTTCATTTTAATAAAGGGGTCGTTCATTGTGTTGTTAACACCCAGGATTTAGGTTTATTCAGCATCTATTTCTAGATGTGCATGCATTCAGAGTGGATTACATTGATACGGTTATATTTGTTTCAAGATTTAGTTCATTTGAATTACAATACTTGAAATTATGAGTCAATTGAAGCTAGACCATCATGGAAAAACTGGAAGCACTGGGCGGCCGTCGATGCAGCGAGATTCGAACCAAGGACTTATCGGTCTCGCGCGCGAGCGCTTATCCTACAGACCACTGAGCTGAACAGCATCCAACGGTGTTAACGTTTAGCTTCAACTAATACACGAAATCGAAAGACACATCCATTATTGTCATCAGTGAGTTACCATCCCAAAACACACCTGGTTGAACTCCACTGTTTTCTGCTCCTCACTAGAACTCCAGGAAATACCTCTTGAAGCCAGTCACTAGTGAGCATATGTTGATTAGTATCTGAAGGAGTTTTGTGGAGATCTTAGTAATTTCAATAGTTGAAATTGCAAGTCAATTGAAGCTAAACCACCATGGAATTATGTCTAACAATGAAATCCAATAGGCTTTATTATTCTATTCTAAACTCTTCAGTTTGATGTACCTCTATTCTAATGTTATATTTGGAAAATCTATACTTTCACACAAAACAAAAGCATCGTTAGTGTAGTGCACATAAAGTACAGTTTCATTATAAACGAGTACTAATTTGTAATTTCTAAATTTCTAGCGATTATATCGACAATAAATAATCTTAAAAGATTTTGTATCGCTACGTCATTTGATGAATGGCGTAATTGATTGGTTATGTTTTCGATTAATGTTAACTTATTCATTTTTACTTAAAGTCATCTACTTAATTAAATATAATCAGATATCAATTCATTTTATACTGGATTCCCTTTGACTAAACTGATTAAAAGAACTCACTGTATTATTGAATAATAAGTATAGTTCAGTGACACAAAAAAACAATTACCATTTATTAAAGTAATTTCAATAGTCGAGATCATGAGTCAATTGAAACTAGATCACAATGGAAAACCTGGAAGTCATTGACAATAAATTAAATTTTCTAATTATTAAGAGTAAAAAGAATTCCTCAGAAATATGAAGTTAGGCGAACGTTTATCTTTTATCAAACTAGCTGATAAAAATATAGTTTGTTAGTCAGACAAAGACTTAGTTAACTCGATAGATAGATAAATAAGGGATGCATTTGACTAGATTCTCATTTAATTAAATTACCTGACATTCATTGCTTAGCTACATGCGTTTTTTTTAGATTTTCTGATCGTATTTTGCAATTACTTACAGAACCTCCACTTTGGAAACAGAATAATAACCTAGATAGATGTAATTTAAAAAATCATCATTATCATTTCAGATGACTTTCTGTGAATTACACATATCTGCATCGATAAGGAAAAATATATGTATACTTTTTAATAGATAAAATAAACCCTATTAATAGTGATAAACATTGTAATCAACCAAATCAGTCCTCATCACAAGAATAATCGTTAAATGTCCCTTAAAATGAGGATTATTTTTATTTGAACATATTAATATTCGCACAAGGGGGAACCAGATGTATATACACCACACAAAACAATGAGAATGGGAAGAGAAAAAGAATGTAAGGTGCGTATAAGAAGCAAGAAAAAGGACAATAACGACCATAGATTAGTATATGGTAGTGTAATAATAATAATAATAATAATAATAATAATAATAATAATAATAATAATAATAATAATAATAATAATAATAATAATAATAATAATAATAATAATAATAATAATAATAATAATAATAATAATAATAATAATAATAATAATAATAATAATAATAATAATAATAATAATAATAATAATAATAATAATAATAATAATAATAATAATAATAATAATAATAATAATAATAATAATAATAATAATAATAATAATAATAATAATAATAATAATAATAATAATAATAATAATAATAATAATAATAATAATAATAATAATAATAATAATAATAATAATAATAATAATAATAATAATAATAATAATAATAATAATAATAATAATAATAATAATAATAATAATAATAATAATAATAATAATAATAATAATAATAATAATAATAATAATAATAATAATAATAATAATAATAATAATAATAATAATAATAATAATAATAATAATAATAATAATAATAAAAATAATAATAATAATAATAATAATAATAATAATAATAATAATAATAATAATAATAATAATAATAATAATAATAATAATAATAATAATAATAATAATAATAATAATAATAATAATAATAATAATAATAATAATAATAATAATAATAATAATAATAATAATAATAATAATAATAATAATAATAATAATAATAATAATAATAATAATAATAATAATAATAATAATAATAATAATAATAATAATAATAATAATAATAATAATAATAATAATAATAATAATAATAATAATAATAATAATAATAATAATAATAATAATAATAATGGGGAAACGGAAAGGTACAACCAGAAGAATTCTTTCAGTTAAGGAAGATACAACCACTTTTTATGGAGAAAGTAAAATGATGTTACAGCAGGATCGCCACTAGCTTCTATTCTGAGCCATATCTGATAACGTCTCTAGCCCCTGTGTTGCACCATCTCTCAGACCCCAACCAAAGAGTCGTGAAGGACCAACACAAGCCAGACATTTGCAGATTTCTTTCATACCACGACACCATGTCATACATTGACCACCTCTCCGCTTTTTCCAACAAGTCCCGGAGTCGGCAAATAATGCACGACGTGGAATTCTCTGGGGCGACATTCGTAGAACATGTCCAAGCCACCGAAGTCGATGTTTCAAGATGGTGACACCAATTGGATTATCGTCTCTGTGCCCGAACACATGATGCTGAACCTCTGCATTAATAACATAGTGCCGCCACTGGATGTCAGCAATCCTTCGGAGACAACGATGATCAAACACAGAGAGTCGTCTAACATCCTCAACTCGGAGAGGCCAGGTTTCACAAGCATAGAGCAAAACTGCTCTCACCGACGCGTTGTAGATCCTACCTTTTACAGCCAGACTGACATCACGAAGGCGCCAAAGATGGCCCAGATTGGCATAAGCCGCTCTGGCTTTCACTATACGTGCATTGATCTCATCACTCAAGCCACCACCAGCACTTATGCAGCTACCTGGATACACGAATCTCTCGACTACTTCTATCTGAATGAAATGACGATATTTAAAATGACAATATAATACAGAAGCCATAGGAAAACAAGTAAGCACAACAATGACTAAATAATTCTTAAGAAAATTTAACTTTTAAAGTCTCTAACAGTTTTTTTAATTATTACTTTAACACAAACCGTAAACAAATCTCTAGGAATTTGAAAGTTTTATTACCAAGGTTTGACTTGATAATTTCGAATAAATTGAGTAGATTGTTATACATAAATTAAAATATTTATGATATCCCGATGGATAAAAAAATTAGATTTTCTGATATTTTGTAACTCAACCAAATGAAAATTAATCCAAGTCTAAACAGTGCAAACGGAACAATACAATAATATTATGTGCGATCAGTAAAAAACAGGTCTGAACAAGCCGAGATCATGTTATAGAAAATTTATTTTCTTCTACTCATTTAGATATTACAAATATAATTTTAATTTATTTATAAATCTCTAGGATATTTCAGCAACGGTTCTCAAGGTCATCAGATTTGTCAATGATATTGCTACACTCATTTGAAATGTAATGTGCCTACAATAGTCTTTCATAAACGATATAATTTACAAAACAATGTTTTTTCTCTTTAAACTTCAGTTCAATTACGAACAATTAAAGACATGAGTTTGTTTCAATATGACATAATCAAATGTCTCATGATTTTCTTTATCCTATTAAACTCTTGTTATGCAATAAAATTGATTGAAACATATATATTTTTTACCAGAAGAGGTTTGTGGAGATTTTAGAAATTTTCAGATTGAAATCATGAGTCAGTTGAAGCTAGACCACTGAAAATCTGGGAGCACTAGACGGCCGTTTCGTCCTAGTATGGGACTCCTCAGCAGTGCACATCTACGATCCCGAACCCCGCGGGATTGCAACCCAGGACCTACTGGCTTCGGACGCGAGCACTTAACCATTAGACCACTGAGCCGGCATCCAACAGTATTAATATATATAAATCTATTATTTTATTTTAAGATTAACTACGCATGCATATGATTCAATTAGATGTTACTGCTAAGTCAAATTAATCTATTTATAGATCAATGGTAACGTCACTGACTGTGAAGCTAGGTGATACAGTATCGAATCCATCAGAAAGCATCACTTATTTCAAGATTTATAATATACTGATTAGTATTTCAAGTGAAGTACATAATATTTTAGTTATTTATTTGAAAACATAAATATGCGCCACACAAGTCACTTGATTTGTGTGTGGGCTTTAATACTCCCCGGGTGCCCAAACCAAAGCAGGTGGTTTTCTTAGGCGACTACATCCGGAGCATTTGACCTAAAGGTCTGATCCAAAAAACAGTCGGCTCTAATGCTCTTTCTTCACTTCTTTGTATTCGGCCTGCTCCTCAACTTTCTCTGTTCTTGTTTGGATGTTGTTATCTGCTGTCTTCTTGTACTTCTTTTCTTCGATATTGTCCAGGGTTTCTATAGAGATCTATTCCTTATGAAAATGCTTGTGTCATCCCATCACCTCTTGAAACGTTGAGTTTAGTGCTTCTTTGATCCCTTTTCAGTTGTCCTGCAGATTAGTTTCATCTTCTTTGAATAGATCTTGTAGTGCTCAGAACCTGTTGTTGAGTTTGTCAGTATGTCAGGTGAAGGTTTTATTAAAACATTGTCTAGTTATTCATTCCATATTTTGCTTCAGTTTCTTGTTCACAACCAGTTAATGATCTAAAGCTACATCAGCTCCTCTCCTGGTCCTATCTAGGGTTAATAATTTGATCAGAATAATTCCCCAAAGAATTTCAATCAAACTTCAGTATGCCAACTTTCTACATTTTTATAATGTGACTTTAAAACACTAGTTTTCTCATAAATCAAATTAATGATGAAATAAACAAAGAATGTATACTTAATGTTGAAATGACTCTGATGTGATATACTGAAACCTAGAAAACTGAAATAACCCAAAAAACCAAACAATTTTAAATCTCATTGTGAATAACAAATATTTTCTGTTCCATGAACGACTAAAACTTTTGTTTTATCTATTCTAAAAGATTATAATCACACGTTTCTTTTCCAAAAAGAGACTTCACCATTAAGAAAAAATGAAGTAAATCCAATTTCTTTTCACTTTTTGTTGTTAGATAGGGTAGGATATTTGGAAAAGGTGATACGCTCATGGTTTGTGCTACTCATGCGGATATATATATATCGGAAGTAGGATTCTTATTGAAAAAAGAGGAACATAACGAGTAGCAGAAGTGGTCCGGTTAGCATCAGGAATGGAATAACGATTTTGTAGTAGATAATTCAAGAGGTTTATTCAATGTATTGTTTTCATATTTTACGAATGCAGTGTGTGCGTCAGCATGATACAACTGATTGGTTAACCCTTATTCAAGTCTTCGTTCATTACACTTTTAAATCTATTTTAATTGTATAACTGCGAAATATTGGACTGATAATACTTTTATGTTATCCTAATTTACAAGATTTCACTGGCTTACTACCCAGTGACATCGGTTTTATCGTTCTTAATATATTAATCAATCATGCACCTATTGCACAAATCATTTCCAATTGGTGATGGAGTGGAACCATATAATTACTGTATCAGTTCCCGAGTTATACTATACAATGCATGTTGAATTGCTGTCTTCGTCTACTGATTGGCTGAAATAAAATAAACTGAGTGTGGTAATTGAAATCAATGGTAGACCATTTGTATTATTGATTATAGAGGTCAATAACATGTGTGATATAAGTGAACCCGTAATCAGTGAATTGTATAATCTTATGATAAGATTAAAGTGGTTTATAAGAAGTTGAAGGCGATAACTTTTTAGTATTATATTATTCATTAAAATGATTAATTTAAATGCCTTTTCAAATTATTCAAACACAATGATTTTTATCAGAAGGGGTTTTGTGGAGATTATAGTAATTTCAATAGTTGAGATCATGAGTCGATTAAAGCTAGACCACCATGGAAAACCTGGAAGCACTGCCAATTTAATCGGTTGGAGTTTCAAAAGTCAACTAAATCACTTACACAATGTGTAGAAAAACCAGTTAAATGAAAGCAATCAAAGTAGCACTAACCTCCAGAAACTAACTCGACCAACAACCCAACGGACCATAAAGCAGTGAATCCTACTCAGTTTATGACAGCAAACTGTGTTTGCCGTATGAGGGTATTTCTAACCAACAAACTGACCAAACAACGCTTAGTGTCGAATATGAAAGCCCAATAGCACTTAAGTAAACGTTACTCACACGTGTAATTGTTTATCCACTTCTAATTAATAAAGACTTGCACTCAAGTTGTTTATATTCGAGTAGGATGTCAAGCCGTCGTCAGTTTATTGGTTACAACTGAAACTGCTCTGAAGCAGATTAAACTGAAGATTATTTCTCTAGAGGGATAAGGAATGTGCAACTGCTGTCAGTTGCTAACAGAGACGTGACAAACTGAGTGCCACTGAAACTCTGAGTCCTGAAATGTAGCGCCTCCTACATTTTCCCAGTGTAAACAGGCATCTTTATTATGGATGTCGTGATAGATAAACTGAACGACCAAGAAAACTAAACTCCGTTTAGTTTGCTTTCCCGATTCTCCAATTGGTAAATTTCCTGAAATCAAGAACAAACAGTTAGCACGATCCGCTTTCAGTCAGGCAAGTAATGTGAAGAGTTTGCTCTAAAAGCACTTCACCTTTGAAAGTTATTGTCAGGTCAGATCATACTATTAATATAGTGACCATAGAACAAAAGATCGTAGTGACAAATATAGCACGGAAGTAAGCCATTTGAAGTGATGAGAATCAGAATAAAGCTCAGTTGTATGCGGTAATACTCACCAAAACAATTTTAATAACTTCGTTTAACGTCTTACAATATTCGACAAACACCTAAATCACTATTTCGACGGTTATTTTTACAAATGCTACAAATACTGAAATTATTACCCCAATCAGACAACGGGGATTAACTGTACCAAAATCATATAGCTATCTATTCGATACTGTTACTTAGCAATTTCATACAAAATTGATGACATGTATAATAACTAACTGCTCTTACACGAAACTAACCAACTGAGAAGTATCTCCGAATTCATATATCACGCGTGAAATAATAGTAACATCTGAAACCTAACCCATTAGAAAATTCAGTCATCTCTTTAATTTAAAATTTGAGGTAATTTATAGATCCTAGTAAGAACATCTAATTAAGAGTTCAATTTTGTAGTTAGTACACAGAAAGTAACTGCATAAAAATAATTATATATAGTCTGCTAGAGTGAATTCACAAAAAGAACAAGAACTTTACTGTAGTAATTACTTGCGGTTCGTACGGTGAAATGGACTGAATTTAAGTGCGGAAATGTGACATTCTAATAAGCAATTTCTTAAACAAACGAATCTTAGAAACCACTTGCTGTTCACAATAACTATAAAAACAAAAGCTGTATGTCTTTACTGGAATCTGCTAGGTAACGTTTAATCAAAGGACCTAACTATCGGAAAATCCGATGCCATATTTTGCATCCAGGCGTTAGTACTTCAAACTAACACTACAGTCGCTACTAGTCCTGACTAGACAAGAACTGAGCATACCTCATTTTGTTTTCTTCAAGTTAATTGTAATACGAGTATTGGTATCTACAAAATTCTTTCTATCATATACGTAGAATAACTGGTCTTAAGTTTCCTGGAATTACGCCGCAAATTCGAAATCAAAAATTAACTAAGCCGGAGTAGAGCATATAACAATTATTGGGTTATATGACCATAATTACATAGTTCAAATACAATATTTCACAAACCATCCAGTTAGTGAGACAACAAAGACACTAATTGCAGAGACCTGAAATGCATCATTAAAGCATATTTCAAGAAATTTCCTACAGTGGCAAATTTAGATGGCTTAATAAGGCGCTGGACGTGCCCGACCTGTTCCAACACTACTTCCACGCATGGGACCACCACCCCGACCTCCTCGATTGGCACCTGAAGTAGGATTCATTGCCCCGCCTCGTCCAAATCCGGGATTGCTCTGTTGAGAACTGGAATTCATAACTGCAGCAGGTGGTTGAGCACTTCGACTAGTTGCATTCAAGTTATTCCTAGAATTCGTATCAGGATTACTAGATCCATCGCCTGAACGAGTTGACTGAAAATTAAATGCAACGATTATAATGATTAAAAATGGTGATCAGATGAGTTGTCGATAAACAAAATGAGATAGCAAGAATTTTTAGCGATGTAGTTGGCAAAAATCTTTAAAATGATAATGAAACGTAGAAAAATGACGTATATAACCATCCCAGTGAAAAAGTTTATAGCATAAATAAATACTTTTAAGTCGTAACTTACCTGAGAAATTACATCAGTATTTACAAATGAGGTTAGTTGTAATACTAAATATATAGTTTATGAAATCTGGAAACATCGATGACAATATTTCTTACTTCCAACAGTAAAATTAGTGCACAAATCAAATAAATACAGTTCAAGACCCTAACAAGCAAAGTGGATATCTGTTATCATCTATGATGATATAGTCCTCAAACAATGTCATTTATTTACAAGTCAGCAACCTACTTATTCAAGACTGAGACTTAAGACGTCAACGAAAAAGTTTCATTTACTGAAAAGGTAGTTTAAACTCCCATTACAACAACGAGTTTTAACGGACCATTAGTGTTATTATAAGACAGCTACGATTCGTAAATAATGCTTCAAAATCTATAAACGTTTTGTTTGACATAAGGGTATCAAAGTTGTAGTGATCAGTTTCACTGCTGCTTTTACGTAGCAGCATGCTCAACGAAAGAAATAAGTCTATGTACCTCTTATCTTTGCTATCAAGTCGTTAGTAGCGCTTAATTTTCCGTATCTGTACATACACTGATCTACATTTTTAAACGAAATATTGAAATAAGAGAAAATATTCAGGGACAAAATAATAGCCAAGATTGCAAGAACGTTTATTTCACACAGAACCTCAAGTATAAATTGAAATACTTTAGAATGAAGTGACCTCACGCATTAAAACGTATTTGGTGACCACATACTGTTTAAATACAAAAAATTATGAAAATCCTACCTGGCACCTATTACATTGTTCTCGCCATGAAAAGTTGATATTACCACACTGTGGACAGCTCCAGTCACCTTCCCTTGAACCTGCTTGAGCCGAACCGACGCTAGGTCGTACAGAAGAACCATTGGTAATTGCTCCACGGGCACCTCTAGACGCTGTGCTTGCCCCGCGACCCATACCTGGATACTCCTTGGAATCAAAGTGGGCAGCTAGCTGAGGGTTGTTCGCCGTAAGAGCAGCAAGGCTGGCTGCAGCAGCCGCACTGTTATTCATCAAACTGGCAACAGTGTTCCCGCTGGCAGCCGCAGCCACAGCTGCAACAGCCAGAGCAGCAGCAGGATTGTTTGGTCCATTTCCATTTCCTCCCAGCAAACCACCTCCCCCAGGAGGGATAATAACTGGTCTTTGGCTGTTAATAGCTTGTTTGACTTCAATCTTCCTTCCCAAAAACTCATGCTCTAGTAGAAACACAAAATAAAAAACAAGCAGTAACGACAAGAGAAAAATATCGGGAAATGTTGAAGTAAACCATGTTAGGAAAATACCTTTAAACCACTGAATAGCCGATTGGACACAACTTGGATCTTCATAAGTCACAAGCGCTTCGCCTTTAGGTATACCTTTTTCTTTAAATATCCATATCATGGGCATACCGCTTTTGGAATTGATCTATATCGTAAATTATCATTACTGTAAATAGATACCTTGATTTTCCCGACGACACCGAATTGAGACTTCATCACATCGTGATCAATATTTTGAGGCAGATTACTGACAAAAATTGTATCCTCCCGGAGTCCATCAGCTGAACAATCGGTTTTACTTTAAGAATGAATAACTTACGATTAGTGACACTGGGCAAGTTGGAACCTGATCGAGAACCTAAAATAGTAGGACGAGAAATATGATGACTAATATAAAAGCTGCTGAGTTTTCAGCTATCAAATTTGGAAAATTCACTGGAAATCACTTACCGCCAAACTTGTTATATCCACCTCTTTGGCTGAAAAACACTAATCTTCGTTAAATTCAAAATAGTGAAAACACAAAAACACCAGAAGACAACTTGCTTCTGTAAAAAAAATATTAAAGTGGGGGAGCCAAAAATACCAAGACTCACACATATACCATAAAACCATTGACTGGTAATTACCAATAAAGTTACCCAAAACACTGACGAAAAACACAGCTCCCACTCAAATTGAACCAAATACGCGACTGATTGGGAGACACTCAAAAATTTCGATCAAAACGCAAAACACCGTTCGATATTCAGATGTACCAAAGATTTCGGATTTAACATACCTGCTGCCTCTTCCAGAGCCCAATCCACCGCGAGTGTTCGTGCCAGTTGGGTCTTGGAGGAAAGCGACTGGATTAAAACCTGAAATTCAAAAATCCCACATTGTCAAAAAAATCTAACCTGCAAGTCCTTGTTCGTGAGCTATGGCCTCTAAAATTGCTCCATTGGCAGACATTGTTTGCCCAAAAGCATTAGCCATGAGTGGCCCAAACTGTTGCATATCTTTAAAAATAAGAAAAGGTTATAGTGCAGTACCGGTACTGAAGCCTGCTTGGACAGCTGACAATCCAGGAGGCATCCCTTGCCCCATTCCAGGATACTGATTGAATGACCCAGAGAAATTAGGGTAAGCAAAGCCTCCTGCAGCTGAAAAGTATAAACAACAAGTTTTCAAACAAACCGGGTTGCATAGGGACTTGTGAACCGTCTACCTGACATACGGGGATCGAAGAGGTTTGGTTGTAAGCAGAACCTGTTTGGTCAAAATTATATGAAGCAGCTGACTGAGCCCCAAACATAGAACCTGGAACTCCAGCAGCTGGGTTTCCTTGTTGAGAAAGCGCATAACCTTGAAGCAACTGAGCGTTTTGATCACTTGCTGTTGGATAGTGGAAGGGAGGGTAGCCAGCTTGACTAGCCTGTTGCATGTTAGCATAAGCGAACTCTAAAACCAATAAAAGGACATATAAACTTGCATTTTGGTCAACCATTAAAAGTAAAAATTCATTTCGGCAAACCAAGTCTTAGGTTACTTTCTGGTTAATAACGTAAGACATATAGAACAAAAATCACATGCAACTGCATTTAAATGGTAAGTTAATCCATTCACTTTGAAGATTTAGCTTTATTCAACGTTTTACAAGCCAATTGACCTGACTCATCTAAAGGGAAGTTTGAGATAATTCTTATTTATTACAACAATCAATAAGGTGTTCCATTTAGGCAACCAACATCTGCAGCGGTGCTGCATTCTCAGAACGGTAGGTTAGTGTCAAGGAGGATTGACCCAAAATATTTCATCTTTTACTATATTTCAGGGATTGCCGTCTTCGATTGTTGGGCTTTCCGGAGTACGGCGTCAACACTAAAAACTCACAAAAGGTCGTGTGATTGACCTTCTATCGTCTTTCTCTGGGCTTTGTTAAATGCTCCACGATTGGTACAAGTACTACTCACCTTATTCAGGTAATTCAAAAATACCTTCTCACACAACAAGCAACCGTAAAGTACTAGCCGCCCTTGTACTTCGGATAGCCCTAGAGATAGAAATACATCTTGGAAAGAGCTTCTCGTGTTCAAACACCAGAAGACTGGCTTGTCACGTGAAAGGGGTATTTAAAACAGCACACTTAAGGCGAAAAACCACAGGTGCAACTGGGAATGCATGGAATAAGACCGGTCGAACTGAAGTAGGAACTATAATTAGAAATGTATTACATACTAAGACAAGCAAACAGTAACAAGAGGATTATATATTGTCAGTCAGTCAGTCAGTAACAACGTAGAACTTCGTACGTACGTACACCAGTTCGAGTTGCCACACCACATTAGCATAGAGATGCAGTTGTCGATCCAAATCCCGTAGTGGTAGAGGTAGCAAGTGTAAGCAGTGATCGGGAAGATTAGGGTTCGGAGATGTTATTTAAAGAGTATAATTCAGTGAAATAAATTTGGAAAGAGGAAAAAAGGGACAGACTAGAATTTGGGAGAACACAAAGAGTTGATGCACCTGCGCCATTGCAAACGATTTTGAGCCATATCATTCAGGGTATCTAACCATCGGTTACTATCATCTCGCGGTCCCCAACCAGGTAGTCTACACCTACCAACATGACTCAGACTACTTGTCAGTGACTTCATGGACTTGTGCCATGTTTTGGTCTGGCCGCCCCTACCCTTCTTCCAACCTACTCCTATACCACTGAACATCGCACGTCGAGGCAGTCGGTCGTTGCGCATACGTAACACGTGTCCCAGCCATCTCAACTGATGAAGTTTCACTATTTCATCAATTGTTTTGCCATCCTTACCTAGTACCCGTTTCCTAACAACTGTTACTTACTCGATGGTCCCGTGATATACGAGCAATGTTTCGAAGACACCTATTAAGACACCTAGTAACCTACGAATATCCTCTAAATTATATATTAAAGCCATGACTCAAGTAGTTAACCTTGAACCCGATGTCTGCTAGCCCAAGCCCACATGCTAAAACAAAAGAATTTAACGAGTAGAGATAGCGATGTCAACGGTCATGGAGAACTAACCAAGAAAATGTCCAGAAAGTGAAAGAAATATGGGAACATTACGTCGACTGATCGCTGGAGTCGTAGCTCGAAGGACATCAAAACTGATATCATTTACTCAGTTCGTCACTCAAGAAAATACTAACTCCAGGATAACCTCAGCATTACACATTTTTCGAAGGAAACTGATACTTGATCCCTGCTACAGATAAATATGCAGTCGTCGTTTAGGAGGACCGTAGTACGCGAGATTGCTTTAAGCGATCAGAAAAGTCGATTGACTTTGCTTAAAATTGGCCAGTGGCGCAGATGCATCCCCTCTTCTTTTTCCACCGACCTCTGAGCCTTATCATTACACAACACTTTCTAAGACTCAAACTCATTTCTTGTTTTGAAACCGTCCATAATTTCTTAAAGCCAACTACACGATAAACATATGGAGACGGGAATACATTGCTTGAGTAAGAAAGCAACTAACGCGGATGCTATGCCATTTGGTGTTTGTTGTACTGGAATCGGTCTAACCTGTTACGTTATTGGTTGGATGGTGCGATTAAGACACATCATCGTACAGTAAGACTGAATCAATTGCGAAATTCAACTTCTTTTAAGGTAAAAGAACTAACACATCACAGGCTTCTGGCAATTACTTTCCGTACAACATCGGGAGCGCGACCAAAGTTAAATAATGGTTTCGAACAGCGCAAAAACTCCTTCCGGTGGACCCGGACACTTAACATGGAATAAACTATTATATTTGTTCACACTTGGTGTTGATCTCAAAATTATGGCAATGGGAATAAGTAAAATGAGCCATTAGGCTTTCGAGCTTCTCGAGTGATACGTTCAGTTCAGCATGCCTAGCCGTGCTTGAATTAGACTTGTGTCAAACTACATAATTTACAATTGCGAGTTCGTTATACAGAGGCCCAGTCAGATTACTTTAGCCATTTGATCGCAATTTAGTCCACGAATGACTGGAAATAAAGGGGAATTGCCATTAAGAAAATTGCCAGTTCCACACGACCTCTTAAATGGTCAGCAACTGGTAGAATGCTTGAAACACAGAAAAGTCTAGGACTTATAAAATAAAAGACAGTCTCCAAACTAGTTAGATTCTATCCAAGTTGACTACAAACTAAAACGTAAAATGAAAAGAACAGGTAACTTTTCTACTCACGGTCAGCCATCTCTGATTAGCGCGTAACAACTGTCTTTCACTGATTAAAACACTTACAGTTATCAAGTAAAACTCCCTTCAATAGAAATACCAAAATATAATATGCCAGGAAGAAAATCCATCGTAGTTCTCCATCATAAGCAAATTATCAACGCTCTATTTAAAAGGACAGTGGTATTCTTTCTCGTTGAGTTAATTAACTGTTTTGATCGTAAACTACCCATCAAAACTACTGTTTACACTTTAATTGCATCTACCCCAGTTAGAGGGATATTGTATTGAGTTGTTCGATTTTGCTTCTGTGTATTTATTGCATCGAAGCATACTTGGTCGACTTTTACTTGGTTTTTTAGTTAAGGTTTGAAAATCCCTTTACATATCCTGTTTTTTATCACCGTTCTAGTTGATTTTCACGATGTCTAAGTCTACTCATAAATGTAGACAACCATACTGCTTATTTCCCGTGGATGAAAGGATGCAATGTGATGAGTGTAATAAGTGGTTCCATAAGATGTGCACCCGACTAAGCCCCACTGCATATAAAAGGTGTTCAAAGCCCAACTCTCATTGGCTCTGTAGTTTTTGTTGCTCAAGCGAAACATTGCTTATCCAGGAAGCAATTAGTCTCCTGGTGTTGGCTAATAAGAAGGTTGATGAAGGCTGTACTGATAACATTGGTACTGATGGCGAAGATTGCGTTAGTGTCGTAAGTGCTATCACGGCTCAAGTCAGGCATCTACCTGTGCAACCCGCAGTTAAACGTTCTCCCCCGAAACGTTCAGTGAGTGACACGTCATTAGACGTTGGTGGCCATATTGCTACAGCAGCAACCGGTGACCCTGATAAAACAATTACTGTCCCGAGTTGTTCTAATGTAGACGTTTCGACTGATGGAAAATGGATGACGCGAAAACGCAGAAGAGTAGGAAAGATAGCTAAAACTAATGACTGTTTACTTGGTAAGTCCTTGGTGGACTCTCAGGCCAATCCGCCAAAGTCCCATAGTAAAGCTTCGTCTGACATTGTTGTGAGTCATTCGCTTGACTCCCAGGACTCTGTTAAAATAAAAACTAATCGTAAGATACCAGTAGTTAAAATACAGGATCTAACGTCACGGTCGAAAGCTGTGAACACAGTTTCAAAAGAAGCCAAACCCCTCCCTAGTTTAATTATTTGGAATCTAGGGGAGTCGAAAGACAACGACCCTGCTAGAAGACATGCACATGACCTGCAGTTACTGGAATCTGTGGCAAGGAATGTACTACCTGAAGAGGTTTCAGGAGTACATATTACAAAAGTAATACGACTTGGTAAATGGGTTGGAGGCGAGACCGAACCAAGAAGAATCCTGAAGCTGGTTCTCGGGAGTTTTGATGAAAGAGACATATTATTGAAAAGCGCACTTAAAACTCGTGCCTCAAATATCCGTATTCGACCAGATTGGCCACTTGAGGATCGAATTAAGTGGAAGAATACTCTTACGGAGTTGAGGACTCGCAAATTAAATGGCGAAAATAACCTTACCATTAAGAGTTTTCGGGTAGTCAGGTCTTGGAAGCCAATGCTTCCGAGGCCTGTATGGGTAGAACGATTGATTGCCAAAACACCTTAAGTGTGTGCTACACGAACGCTCGTAGTCTTAGAAATAAAACTTCCGAGCTAAGTCTGATGGTGCAAGAATTATGTCCCGATATAATCGTTGTTACAGAAACTTGGTTCACCGTTGATATAGACTGTCCTCCTTTCATTGCTGGTTATATCTGTATCAGAAGTGATAGAGTTTCTAGTCGCAAAGGGGGAGGTGTAATATTATATGTTAGGGATCACTTTCGTATACAATCAACCATATCAGAGGCTCATATCAGTGGCACATGTGAGGTTGCATGTTGTAAGATTAAATCTAGAAATGGGTTAGTGACTATAGGGGTAATATACCGTAGTCCGTCTTGTCTTGCTGACGACTTTATCCTAAGACACATCTGTTCTTGGAGTATGGCAGAATGTTGTCTCATCATTGGGGACTTCAACGCACCGCATATCAACTGGATAGAGCTTACAGCTCCAGGTAGTGGTTTCGATAGCGACCTTTTATCTACCGTTATTCAGTGTGCACTTGTACAATGTATCACAAAACCGACACATATTGATTTGCAACATGTTCCGTCACTGCTGGACCTCGCCCTCACCCACCACTCTGAGGATGTTCTTGATATCCAGCACCTTCCTCCACTAGTGAACAGTGATCACGTTGTAATTCACTTTAAGTTTAGGACTCATGGTATACAATTCGTATCTGCTCCACCCCGTCCCGATATCTGGCGAGCCAATATTCCGGCGATCAGAAACTGTGCTATCTCAACTGATTGGTCGGTCGACGCGGATGGATTGATCGAAGATTAATGGAATAAGTTTAAGGCTACATTCGAGTCTGTAACGTCGCCGTTTATCCCATGGTCAGCACGTAAGCTATCACATTGCCCTCCATGGATTAATAAGGAAACCCGGAAGCTGTTAAAGCGTAGAAAACATTTCTGGGACTTATTCTTGTTGACAGGTCATGCACCATTTAAGCGTGAGTACCAAAAATACCGTAATATCTGTAAGAAAACCATAGCCAAATCTCGTACCACTTACGAACGACAGTTAGTATATGATAGCCGTACTTGTCCGAAACGATTGTTTTCGTATGTTAAACGGCAAATGAAACGTAGTGATAGTATTCCCCCGTTACTGTTACACGACAATTCAGAATTACTAGCTGAATCAGATCGAGAAAAAGCTGAGACTTTTTCAGACTACTTTAGCAAAGTCTTCTCTACGTTTATTGTAACAAATACTTGTCCCACTCACACCGAGATACCAACCATCGAATCTGTACAGGTGACTGAGGAAACTGTCCTTCCGTTGATAACTAACCTCAAACCAGGTAAGATACCGGGCCCTGACGGGTTACATCCACGGTTGCTGTCATCTCTTGCGGACATTATTTCAAAACCGCTTGCGACACTCTTCAACATGTCCCTCTCACTCGCTCAACTCCCTAGAGATTGGAAGGACGCTATAGTTAGTCCTATATTTAAGGACGGTCAGCGACAGATAGCATCTAACTACCGGCCTGTCAGTCTAACTAGCATAGTCGTTAAGTTACTCGAAAAGATAATTCGGGTTAGGTTGCTAAGCCACATAGATTTACACAATCTGTTAGCTCCTGAGCAACACGGATTTCGTAACAAGCGTTCATGCTTGACTAACTTGCTTATTGCGAGGGAGGATTGGACAGCAGCCCTAGATAACGGTCTGTCTGTCGACGTGATATTCATAGATTTCAGCAAAGCGTTTGACAAGGTTTCACACGTAGGTCTTATGCATAAGCTCACGAGCTTCGGAATAATAGGTACTGTACATGAGTGGATAGGAAATTTCTTATGTGACCGCAGACAGAGAGTTAGAGTCAACGGACCGCTATCCGATTGGAAGCCGGTCAAAAGTGGTGTACCCCAAGGTACCATCTTAGGCCATCTGCTCTTCCTTCTCTACGTTAATGATTTACCGCTGTTACTTAGGTCGTCGACATTATTGTTTGCGGATGATGTAAAAATCTGGAGAACAATAAAAAGTGCGGCTGATCATGTGGATCTTCAAGCTGATTTAGACGATTTAGTTAGATGGGCTCGAGAGTGGGGCTTAGAAATCAATGCTAGGAAGAGTGTACTAATGCACATCGGTCATGGTAATAGTTACCGTTACACTATTGAGGGTAAAAATCTTCCTTGCGTTCAAGAGCATAAAGACTTAGGAGTAATATTAAGTCATGATTTAAAAACAAGTAAGCATTGCAAAGCAGCCGCTGTCAAAGGTTTTCGTGCGTTATGATCACTTCGCCGAGCGTTCAAATCTTTTGACGAGGAAATGTTTAGAATTTATATCCCACATATGTTAGACCACATTTAGAGTACTGTATCCAAGCAGCTAGCCCGTGTCTGGTAAAGGATACTAACTCCCTTGAGCGTGTCCAGCGTGTGGGAACGAAATTAGTGAAGGGTCTTTCTAGACTCCCTTACGATGAGTGTTTAAAACGCCTAAATCTTTTCCACTTGTCGTATCGTAGGACACGAGGTGACCTTATACTGGCATTTCGTATCTTTAATTATGATTTGGGTGTTAATATGTCTTATCTTTTTGCTCCCTCCAGCACTATTAATCTCCGAGGTCATAGCAAGAAGGTTCATAAACCACGATCTAATAAACTTAAAGTGGGATCCCGTTTTTCTCATCGAGTAGTCAATGATTGGAACGCCTTACCCGAACAAGTGGTATCAGCCCCATCAGTGAATACTTTCAAGGAAAAGCTGGACCTTCACTGGAAAGCAATGTGTCAGGATTAACACAGGTTCATCAACCTACTATCCTTATTACTGAAGACTGAAGACTGAAACATTCAACTTCATTCGGTCAAGGTAATGGATTCCGCGTTTTCTTAGTTGTGGTGTCTGATGATACAGATTCATATTTTCAGATTCGTGTAGTGAAGACAGAAGGCCTACAGCCTATGTTATTCCTTTTCTAGTATACTTCTGTAAGAGTCTAATCTTCTCTTGAATGAGTCAATTGAAGGTGCGCACACCACTTCAGGTAGCAGGTTCCTAGAATTTATGACTCTGTGGGAAAACCTGTATGCCACGGGTAACTTATTCGTTAATGACTTTTCTGCTCACCTTCTATTACCTCTGAGTCTTCCAAATCTTTAGAAAGAAAAACAGAAGAGTGATGACGTTCAAAATCATTCTTTGGTACTATATACATCAAGATTAGATCACCTCATAATCTGCGGTAGGACAGAGTAAAGAGGCCTAGCTTATCAAAACGTTCTTTGTATGGTAAACCCCGGAGTTTTGGAATCGCTCGGGTAACTGCCCTCTGGACATTTTTCAAGATGTCCGAGTCACCTTTTAAACAGGGGCTTGCAGTCTGAAGTTTTTAAACTTAGTTCTCACCAAGGTTGTGTATACCGTAGTGAACACAGTAGTATTTA